TATGAGCACTATTATCCAATAGAACATGAAGTATTCTGAGAACTCATCTTACTATTCAATCTTTTTGAAGATAAATGGCGCCATAGTTGATTTTATTGGCGAAAATTTTCCACTGCGCATTCATTCACTCTTGATTCACCACCGAATTGTTGAGAATAATTTTAGCATTTCTCTCAATCGTCTGGCATTCATTCATCATTATGATGAAGTATATAAGCAAGAACAACACCAGCAACGATGTTATTCTTATTTCACGATGAAGTATTTGCAGGCAAAGATGTTGGTGGTCACGGGGACGAGGGTTGTTTGAGATGTGTTTACTGTAATGAATTATTGCAAAGTTTTGATGAGGAAACGCTATCGCTTTGTTTGATTGCCGTCGAAACGTTTCTGCACCGTGAACCAACAATGGCCGCACCGATGCTCTTCAGAATCATCAACACCGTCACGAGGTCAATCAGTAATCTTCTCTGATGATTTTCCTTGAGTGTTTCGGTTGCTCCGGTACTTCGTTTAACTGAAGTCAACAACCACCCACGCTAGCACCTAAGCAAACGTTATCCTTCTATGAAAGTCTCAATTGAGAATGTTTTGGAATGTCATCATCATACCTCCTTGAAAGACCTGGTCCGGAAAAGTACTGGATAAGTATTTGTATGCTCTTTGGGATGATCTTTAGCTGATGATCTAGCATTTTTTGAAATTCTAATCATTTCGNTGCATAATTGAGAAATGCTTTCAGCTATTGAGAAATGCATCCTCCCAATAGGGCATTCGAGAATCGAAATGTATCCTTTATTGCATGTATCCGCATAGTGTCAATTCGCGATGCCTAACGATGATGTCGAATTGTCAAATGTTTCAGATGTCATCGAGCGGTATTTTCATTCAGCTATTCGACACGAATATTGAAAGAGCCAGTGGTTTTTGGTCAACTATCTCATACTCACTAAACGATTTCACTGAACTCAATCCAGTGTCTGTGATACAGATTTTATTGGAGGTTTGTTTGATTTGCAGTTGATTTAGAATGTGTTAGCCATTTAATTTAGGATGTGCTCGACGATTGGCCGCAGCGATTGTCGCGAATTCTCTTCAATTTGGCTGCTTATCTACCATACGTTCCGTCTGATGCGTATTTCTCACAATGGAGTTCGGTTATTTCACTTCTCGATTCCTTCTTCCGACGTCTTTTATCACAGGTATTCATTCATTCTGTCATGAAATTATTCTAGTTCTATAATTTAATTCAGGCAATTTCTTTCTCNTGTTTCGAGATTATGAGTGTCGTTATGCGTGTTCAGAATTTTTCCACCTTCAAGGTCATTTGAACTCATCTTGCTTGATTAAGCTTCAGCAATTCAACAGATGATCAAGTGATTGTCTGAGTTTATTCTGCAATTATACACATTTCGCTTGATTCTTTATATAGTAATGATTATTAGTTCTGATGCATTATTGTGATGAGTTTGCTTCATAAATTTTTCTCGTACATATATTAAAGTTACAAACTGATATAGAAGGAAAAAAATATTTTAAAAATGAAATTTCGAAAAATTTCGGTAAAACGATACCGTTATTAGTGTAATTCTACTTCAGTCTTCGGTGGCACTTGCTGAAAGCTTCTCGAAGTGGTTGACAGAAGCGATGCACGAATGTAAGGCGGATTTGCTGGATATGTTGACCGTGTGTACAGCCTGCAATCGTGCACTCATCAGGGTATTCACTCACTCATTCTCCTACGTACAGATCTACACAGATCAACTGCATTCATAAATGAAGTTGTGGAATAGCGCTGATACACGCATTTTTCAATAGCAATAAGTAGAAATAATGAAAATAAAATAATAATTGTAATAATAGCAATAATGGTGGAACCTTGAATGACCAAAAGTAATGCGTAAGGGAGAT